GTTGTGAACGTTGAGTTATTGGGGTCTAATCCTGGTCATCTTTGCTTTCTTTGACTGTATTTGGTATTTCAAAGTATTAGGTTTGCAGAGGATGTAGATTACTCTGTTATATGCTAGTTGTTCTATTATTTAATTTTAAAATGAAATATTCAACTTTCTCCATGCTGAATCTGATATTCTTCTTGTTTCTTGTGGCTTTTATTGAATGCTTTTCTGGTGTGCCACATACACACACACACACACACACACACACACATGCATACACACAGACACACACACATGCACACGTGCACACACATACACACACATACACACGCATACACACATGCACACACACGCATACAGTGCTCAGTGTCTCCTCCTCCCCCTGAGGCACTATTGAACTGAAAACCAGTGTACGTGTAGTATCTAGAGACTTACGAACTGGCCATCTTCTGCTCCCTCCTTTGGAATCCACACCAGAGTGAACTAATTTTGCATCACAGCATTTCTTAAAACTCAGTTCCTTTTCTTCCTTGCATTTCCTGAAAATTTGAATAGCAGTTTATTGAATCTCAAAATATTCTACTGTAATTTTAATTAAAACCAGTAATTTATAAATGAATTTAGGAGAATAAGCATTTACATTTCTCCTTTTGTGATAAGTTATACCCCTTTGTTTTACCAAATCAAAATTTATTTTATGCAGTAGTGTTTTATTATAAAAGTTACACTCACCAAAGTAAGTTTAATATTTTGTGACAATAAATTGAATGTTCATTATTTTCTTCTAACTGAACATATTACTTGATATTTTTTCTACTTCTAAGTGGGTTTTTTTTTTGTTTTTTGTGCTCGTGGGGCTTGAACTCTGGGCCTGGGCCCTGTCCCTCAGCTCTTCAGCTCAAGGCTAGCGCTCTACCACTTGAGCCACAGTGCCACTTCTGGTTTTCTGGTGGTTTATTGGAGATAAGAGTTCCACAGACTTTTCTGCCCGGGCTGGCTTTGAACCGCAATCCTCAGGTCTCAGCCTCCTGAGTAGCTAGGATGGCAGGCGTGAGCCACTGGCGCCTAGCTCTAAGTGCTCTTTATAAGGCAGGATTATTGTTTATCACTTGTATGACAGGAAAGGAAAAAATCCCTGGGCCATGTGAAGGGCCTTCATCATGTTCTAGGACCTTAGACTTTCCTTTTCCTCTTTCTTTGATGGCCTAAGAGAACAGAGGCAGGAAGCACGGCCTCTAAGCTTCGGTGGTCACATTCGATTCAGCAGGAGCCCTCCTGGGAACACTGCATGCTTCTTACGGCCTGCAATCCTCAAGGACAGCACCTCACAAGTCTCTGTCCTGACGCATTTATGCGTGGCTAGAGGGAATTTACCCTCTGGCAGAGTGTGTCTGTCCTCTGGGAACTACAGGAAGAAATGTTAGGAAGCTGAGCATGGTGGCGTATTCCTGAAATCCCAGCCACCTGGGAGCCAGAGTTTGGAGGATTGTGGTTTGAACTCGGCCATTGCTCAAAGTACGATGCCATCTTAAAGAGCAGCCTGATATGGGGTGGGTCCGTAGCCAACTCCACACCTGTCATTCCTGCACAAGACAGTGTAGACAGAAAACTCACAGTCCAAGCTGGGCCCCAGCATCTGGAAAATCACGAAAGCAAACAGGGATAGGGCGTGCTTCAAGTGGCGGAGGCCTGTTAACAGGCACCAGGCCCTGAGTTCTTCCAACCAAGAAATGCCAGTGACGGAAGTTAACCTTGACACTCAGGTGAGGTGATAGAATTGATGACACCTGCCCTCCGGACATGACATCAACATCTTGGCCAGGTTTTCCCTGACTCCCATCCAGCACGTGGCACCAGATACTGTCATTCTGCCAGCGACGACAGCCAGGGTCAGCCATGGCCGGGACAGGACTGCCATCCTGAGCAAGGTCACGGCTGAGGCCCGGACCTGCCCCCACCGAGAGCAGATTCCCACACTCTGCCCTTCCACGTGCCCTGCCACATCCTTCCTAAAATGACGCTCCAGAACTCTTCCAAACAGTGACAACACTAGTAGAATGTGTAGCTCGCTCCAAGTTCAGCTCCAACTCGCAGCGTAGGAGCCAACCACGGGAAATTCCTTACGTCCCTTAGACCTCTCAGAAAAATGGAAACAAGATCACGTTGTCCAGGTATTTATTCATCCTCTTAGGAAAAGCCGGATGATTACATTCCTCCTCATGCCAGGCCCTGATAAAAATAAAATGAGAAGTGGCCTGGGATGGCCTGACTGCTCATTGAACTTCCAGGAAAGGAAGATGAATATAGAAAATCACATTGAACTTCCAGGAAAGGAAGATGATGCATATAGAAAATCACATTGAGCTTCCAGGAAAGGAAGATGATGCATATAGAAAATCCCACGGATTCACATCAACTAATAAATTCCATAAGAATGAAGCAGGAACAGATGAACAGGCTAAGAGCGGCGTTTCCCTTTCAAAGGGTTAGTAGAGAAGACTTCTCTAATGAAATAAAGGGTAGAGGCTAGCTGTGAGGGCACTGGGGGAAGAGCGCTCTGGGCAGCAGGAAACAGACACGGACGGCCCTGCGGCAGGGACACACTTGCCGGCAGTAACAGGAGTCCGGCATGGCCACAGTGTACAGTGATGAGGAGCAGGCTATTGGTAGACGGATATTTGCTACCCAGCCTTTCAGAGAAAGTTCTCCAACTCCCAATGCAGGGTTTCAGAGGACTTTGCACTTGTAAGGACAGGAAGCTTCTGAGATGCTTCTAGAAGTGCAGAGGAAAGGAGCCAAGCTCCTCCGTGTTACTGTCTAGGGCTAGCTAGCCTACAGACCTGAGAGGAAGCCAAAGACCTGGGGAGCGGTGGGGCCATAGCCCACTGAGGGGACCTGTGTCGGTCCGTTGTCCGGTGTGGGTCTGTGCCGACCGGGAGGCATCAACCAACCTATAAGAGCACAGGTGCACAGCACGATTTCAGTCAGATTGACAAGATGTGCAAGTTATTTACTAGTTGTAAATTTAAGATGTTAGCTGTAGTTGTAAATTTAACATGTTAGCTGTAAATACAGAAGCTAAAGGTAATGCAGATGATTTTAAGAAATTCAGAATTACTGGAAAGAGCATTGTAATTCCTGCATGATATTCAAATCTGAAGAACACTTAAATATCTCTGTAGCTGTCAGGGGAAAGGCACGGCACTTTTATAGTTAGTTATCAGCTTTTTAGAACACGGCGCCACATTTATCTTTTCTCTCTGTAGGCTCATTGTATGATATGAAAAGCCGTCTCTTTGACGGAGTGATTCTGTTCATCCAAATGGTGTTGAATTCGGGATACGTGTGGCCTTGTTACTGAGACCTTTACTCCTCTTCCTGCCAACCGATTTGCGGTGGCTGGAGAGGAGGTGCCAAAGATGGCAGAACCTCACACTGCCCCGTGGGCCTCCTGCTCAGCTTGAAATGGGTTTCCTAAAAACTGCCCTTGACCTTCCAGAGAATAAGGAGTTTATTTGACATTGTTTCTCAGGTTCTCATGTCTCTGTGTGTTTAGGGAGGACCGAGCCTGGGCTCTTTACCTCCTAGAGCCGTTGTGTGATCAAACGCGTTGCCTCTCAGTAGATGGGCCTGCGCGATGATGCGCTGCTCAGGCCGGGAGTGTGGGTGCCAAAGTCTGCACTGTCTGCGGCTGCGCGGCCCACGCCGCCTACGCGCCTGTACGTGGAACTGAGGGCGTTGCGTTTCCTGAGCTGCTCAGTTCAGCATAGCAAAGTGGGTCAGACCAGGCGCAAGACAAAGCAGGAGAAAGTATGCTACAGAAGTAAAGCCTGGGAAGTTGACTTGGCACAAGACAATGGCTTTTCATCTTCCAGCGGCTCCGTGCTGGGCAGTCTCTTCCTTCCACGCCTCCTCCTCCTCGGTCGGGGATGCTGCCCAGCAAACGGCCACAGTGGAGCTGCTGCAGAGACCCAAGAGCCACCCGGTGGTCTCCCCGTGGAGGGGTCTATTTCTGCAGGGCCGGTTCCCCGTACGCTCCCTGGACTTCACAGCCACCCCTTGTAGGTGAGATGTGTAGAAAGGAGTCTTTGAGTTGAACACAAATAGAGTTGACAGCACAGTGCTGGAAGGGGAAGCAAGAGACTGCAGGACCCCGGAGCTGCCGTGGGCCTGGCCTCCACGCTCCTGGAGCTGCCGTGGCCTGGCCTCCACGCTCCCGGAGCTGCCAGGTGTCTGGCCTCCACGCTCCCGGAGCTGCCGTGGGCCCGGCCTCCACGCTCCTGGAGCTCCCGGAGGTCTGGCCTCCACGCTCCCGGAGCTGCCGGGGGCCTGGCCTCCACGCTCCCGGAGGTCTGGCCTCCATGCTCCCGGAGGTCTGGCCTCCACGCTCCCGGAGGTCTGGCCTCCACGCTCCCGGAGGTCCGGCCTCCACGCTCCCGGAGCTGCCGGGGTCCGGCCTCCACGCTCCCGGAGGTCCAGCCTCCACGCTCCTGGAGGTGCCGGGGGCCCGGCCTCCACGCTCCCGGAGGTCTGGCCTCTACGCTCCCAGAGGTCTGGCCTCCATGCTCCCGGAGCTCCCGGGGGCCTGGCCTCCACGCTCCCGGAGGTCCGGCCTCCACGCTCCCGGAGGTCCGGCCTCCACGCTCCTTCTGTCTCTAGGCTGCGGTCGCATCACCTTTGTTTCTCTTTCCCACTCTGAATGCTTCTGAGAAGTTTCAAAGGAAGGTAAGCCAGCAGCTCCTTTCTCATTTACGTGCTTCTGGTAGAACAGCTCTGGGGTTCTGCGGCCATTCTGGGAAGAGGCGCGGCCCTGCGCCCTCTGCCTAGGAAGTTGCATGGCTCTCGTCCTGGTCTCCTGTGCATTAGCCAGACACTTGCTTCTGGAATGGATTTCTTGGGGGCTTGCCATGAGTCGTTTTCTTGCAGTCTGTCCCCTGGAATCTCTGTGCTGCTTCGCTGTCAGGACAGCCATGGCTGGTGCATGCTGACCTCTGTCCTCCTCCTTGTCCCCACAGGCAGCACAAGGGGGCGGCCACAGGACCCTGCTCTATGGCCACGCAATTCTCCTGCGGCACTCCTTCAGTGGCATGGTAAGCAATCTGGATACAGAGAAGGGGGGCGGGGGGGGGGGAGGGGAACAGTGCAGGAAATCAGCAGCTCCAATTCAGTATTGCCATCCAAAGTGTATACTGTTCCAGGATGGCCTTCACAGCACTTACCTCGATCTTCAGGGGTTGGTGTTTGCTTAAAATCCACTACACACCCACTCCACGAGAGCTAAGCCCAACCCAGTGAGCACCAGGCTTGGGTGTACTAGATGCTTAGTAAATACTGTTGGATTAGCTGATAAACCATGGAGCCACGGATCCCTTCAGTGTGCATGAAAGAGAAGCCAATCAAATGGTGTTCAGGCCCATCATCCCAGGAGAAGACAAGGGGCTACGCGAGTCCAGAGCAAGGCAACAAGGCTGAAGCAGGAACTAATCGAGGGT